TTATTCATGTGTCACATATCAATTTTGGCCCTCATTACATTTTGTACATAACCCCTTTGCCATCCTCCTAGCACACATCAGCAACCGAAATGTAACATGGGGTCTTAACTTTTCGTATCATGTTTACTGTAGGTACTCTAGACCAATATACTGGTCGATATATTGGTTGAGAGTTGGTTGATACTCGACCAATATGTCAGTCGATAGTCGGTTGATACCCAGTTGACACTCTGTCCATAGACAGTTGATATATCAACCAAGATTATCAGCTGACACCTATCGACCGAGTCTCGACAGAGTATCAGCCAACTATCAAGTGAGTGTCAACCAACTATTGACTGAACGTGGAAGGACTATCAAATGAGCGTTGAAGCAGTGTCGACCAAGTGTGAACCGAGTGCTGACTGAGTGTTAACAGAATGTCGACTGACATATCGGTCAAGTATCAACTGACTCTTGACCATATATATTCACCGATATATCAGTTGAGATTACCTACAGTAAACATGATCCAACTTTCCCTGGGAAAGTCAAAACTCTTCTCTCGATCCTAGATGGTTCTTTGACAGAATCTGTGAAAGTTTATTGTATCTTACCTCATCAAGCCTACTGCACCATGTTCTAAAGGCTTTGTTTCCAAATCGTTGTGGCTGATCAGTCGGTGGGATTTCATCAATCCAAGTGTCCAAAGTCTCAAGCATAGTGATCAGTTTCTCTAAGGCCTTGAACCAAGTGAATAGAGCTACCACATGTTAATCAATATTCAAAATACCAATAAGTAATGTTGCTATCCCAGAAAAATTAGCAGAAGTATTACTTAACATATCTATCTATAGTCTGTAATGTTTCTCCTAGACGTTGGGGCAGACATTAAATTTTTTCAGTGGTTGATTCTTGACCAATGAAAAGGATGAAAAGTAGATTTGACTTTTATAGTATTTTACCTCTGATGAAGGACAATCAACTGTCATTGTTTTCCCTTTAACAGCATCATTCAGTGTGAGGATAAATCCAAGGTAATCACTGTATGCCTGTTTGCACAAACATTATCATATTTGAAAACCAAATGTGAAGAACAGATCGGATAACAATGAGCTTTATAACGAGCACCTTGAGGCTACGACACGTGAAGTAGCTAAGTGCGGGCAAAGTGACTAATGGATCAAGTTGAATCGTTTCTTGGTGAAAATTTATTTCCAAAATAAGGTACCAACGCTCCACTCGTTTGCCACAACCATTCTAAAAATGCCTGTGAAATTCGAGAAGCTCTCCTGTTTGGGTATCATGCATTTTGGTGGCGGGAAATCCGCGAGAACGAACAGCTGTTAAGCAGAGAGGCCTGGCGAACAAAATGATCTTTTCCTCACCTGAGACTTTTCCCACTTAACGACATCACTAGGATTCAAAATTTCTCGTTTTGGTTCAGCGAATACTGGCGCTGAAAAATAAGGAGAGTTCATAATCCGTTGAATACACAACTAGCATAATTCTAAATAGGTCATTTTGCAGTACAAAAGTGAGTCCCATTCACCTTGTTCTACGTTCGCCATATTGGAATGTATAACTCTCCCCAGATCCCGTACTTTTTTCTCTGTTGTCACGGACTCAACTTGCCCATAAGGAGAGCAATTTTACGAGACAAATTTTAGGGAAAAAACAACAACGAAAACGGGATGAAACAGGATACGGTACAGGAGGCATACCCTGGTTTCAGGCCCCAGTTTGACCGCTCTTCTTTCAAACCTTCCCCCGCCTCACCATCAGTATCTGCGAACACCGTGGTCAAACGTCTGCGCATGTGCTGATGTTGTGATGTCTTCGTGGACGGTGCTTTAAGTCTAGCTATCAGAACTAAGTTGTCTCACAAGTTACAAACAAAAACAAAGGCAAGTAATTCAAGGAGTTTTAAAAGCGTGTTATTTTTTTTT